CATCCATAAAGCCATTGCTAGTAAGGATGAAGGCTGGGCTTCAGAGTTGTTTTGTAAGGAGCGGGGCACGCCTGTACGCTTCTCACTCTGGTTCCATCCAGATCTGCCTACTCCCCTCAGAGCTCTTTCCCCAAAACAGGAATCCTCCTTGTTGTGTAAACTACCTGCCGTTCCGAAGTTCCCGAGAGCCCTGGTGACTGGCTGTCAGCTCGCTCTGTTTCGGGGAAACACGATGGGGATCGCTAAACCATTTCAACGCAACGCCTAAGGTAGCTGCAATCCCTGGGAAGCTTCCTGGCAGCGGAGGTGTCGCCAGAGGCCCTTTCACTATAAGGGCTTTGCAAACAGCCCGGTGTTCACACCGGCTAGGAAGGGTTTTACCTCGGGAAATGGCCTCTTTCTGAATTTTACAAAAGATTGTAGGAAAGGAAGGAAACTTTTTCTTGGAACAAGGAGGCTCTTGATCATCATCTGAACCACGAGAGTTAAAAGAACTTTCTAGGTTCAGTGTAGAAGGGATGAGGGTAGAGGGATGCAGGCCTTATCACCCACCCCACCCCACACTCCCAGAGCCTCTGCCAGAGAAGGTCAGGCAGCAGGTAGGAGAGGGGCTTCTTTCCTGAGGTCCCAGAAAGGAACAGTGAAGAGGGGTCCCCTGTCTACACTGCCTGGGGCTTGTCCTGGGGATCAGTTCTCCTCGATGGAGGCTTTGCGGTTGAGGCCCAGACAGGTACCCCTTTCCAGGCGCACCACACTGTTCTGCTGGCTGCGTGTTTGCTTCCACCTGCGAAGGCGGGCAGGTGGCTGGCTGTACCCACACCACACGCGCTGCCTATTGGAGTGACCGTGGTTTTCACACACTCAGCCTCAGGGAGTCCAGAGAAGGCTCAATAATGATACGTAGTATTTACTATGCGCTTAGATATGGTTCTAAACACATTTTTTAACCCAAATTTCCTAAGAACCTTCCGGAGGTTGTGCTGTTCTCCTCATTTACAGATAAAGAAATGGATGCGGACAGCATCTTTTTCATATTTTTTTTTTTAAATTGATTTCAGAGAGGAAGGGAGAGGGAGAGAGAGATAGAAACATCAGTGGTGAGAGAGAATCATTGATTGGCTGTCTCCTGCATGCCCCCTGCTGGGGCTGAGCCCACAACCCACGCATGTGTCCTTGACTGGAATCAAACCCAGGACCCTTCAGTCCACAGGCTGATGCTCTATCCACTGAGCAAAACCATCTAGGGCAGGGGTGGGCAAACTTTTTGACTCGAGGGCCACAATAGGTTCTTAAACTGGACCGGAGGGCCGGAACAAAAGCATGGATGGAGTGTTTGTGTGAACTAATATAAATTCAAAGTAAACATCATTACATAAAAGGGTACGGTCTTTTTTTTTTTAGTTTTATTCATTTCAAACGGGCCGGATCCGGCCCGTGGGCCGTAGTTTGCCCATCTAGGGCATGCAGACAGCTTCTGACAGAGTAATGGACAACAGAGCCAGAATTGGAACTGTGGGATTCTGTTTCCAAAGTCCATGGTCCTTAACCATTCATTACCCTCTCCTTGGCGACCTCAGTGGGAAAGAACCTATTGGTTATTGAGGAGAAGTGATCTAAAGTGCACTTTGTGCCAACGTTCCCTCCCCCGAATGCCCAGCATGGCCCTGAAAATGGTGGTTTGCTCGGCAACCCCGGGCTCATTTTAATACCAGCCTCTGCCCGGCACAGGCAGGAAAGGGAAATTTGTTGCAAAAACACAGGGGAATCAGATCTCAGAGCTTGAGGGCTCTGTGCTTGTTTTATTTACCCACATCACTACTACTGTGGGGCACTCAGGTTCCTTGAGAAGATCTTGACATAACTGAACTCTTTTAGCAAAAGACAGGTTGACTTGTAGCTGGTCTGAAGTCAGATTCTCTACAGGTCCCCCAGTGATCTCAAACCAAGTGAGAGATCATTTAAAACAATGCCTGTATTCATTCACTCAACACATTTATTGAGCCTGCACGGGGTTAGGGGCTGGTGGTGATGTAGATAAACCTTTAGGAGCTCACATTCTAGCAAAAGATAACACACCCGCCCAAGTCATCATAGACAGAGAATGTGAAGGTGTGAATAAAAAGGGGTACAGATCACGCCCACCTGCGGGGTCTAGATGGGGGAGGAGTTATCAGGGCATGAAAAATGGGACATCGGGGGGAGCATGGGCGCTCTCCTTTTTCCATCTGATGTGGCCACAGTGGGAAGGACGTGGGCTGCTGATCCCTGAGGGAAAAGGCAGAGGAAATCAGAATTAGACGCTCTGCTGCCGGACCGTCACTCCCAGGAGGGGCTGCCTTTGACTTGGGCCATTTCGGTGTTTTTTGCTGCTCTAAGCTTTGTGCAGAACCATTGGGACAGAGGTGGTCTGGGGCGTTTTTATTCATCTGACCCCAGGGTGGGAAGGAGAAGGCAAAGGGAAGATGTGGTGGTGGTGATGGAGGGGAACGGCTTGGGCCAGAGGGATGGCCCTGATTCCATCGTTCAAGACCGAGTTTCAGGCTAATGCTGTCCTAGAAACCTCCTCAGGCTAGAAGCTCCCTCTAGGGGTCACCTCATTTGGTTTCCTACCTTGAGAGACAACACTTTTTGTTTTTTCAGTCATCAGGGTTCACAGCAGGTCGCACCCTTCCAGAAGTTGGTGTCAGTGGAATGTGTGTTTACAGCACCAACTCAGGACACCCCCAGATCACTCCCACGTGTCCCCTCTTCCCTCCCCCACACCACACCCTAGACTTGGCCAAGGTAACAAGTCTTTTCAGAACTCAACTGTTCTGTTTTCTAGTTTATTTTTATTTTGGGGATGCTTAGAAATATCTTTCCATTTTGAGCACAACTCAGAGTGAGACTTTGGACGGAAAGCTTTGGGAGGAAATCTATGCCAGAAATGAACAGTCCCAAATAACTTTTCCCCTGGGCCACTTCCCTTGGGCAATGCCCTTCCCGGGGCTCCCGTAAGTTTCTTTGGTGGCTGAGCCCTATGTCATCGACTGAAAATATTGCCACAAGCTAGCCAAGCCCCTTCATGTGACCTGGGACCATTCAGAGGACATCACTTGCTTTGAAACAGAAAACACCAGCATCTGATCCATGTCTCAACTTCACCAGCAGGGACGGAGGTCTAGGCTCCACCATTCCCCCTCCAGACTCCTTGGCAGCTGCCAAGAGCTCAGTAAGAATATTCTATAGCAGTTACAGGGGCTTCCTCCAGTCTCCGGATAAATCACATGCAGTCACCCTGGGCAAGGAGGAACGTGGGCTTTGGGGTCAGATTTCGAACTGAATCCCAAGCTCACCCTTGAACAGGGATGGCCTGTCAAACCTTCTCCGCCTCAGAGTTCCTATCTGGAAAGTCCTACTTGTCATGGTTAGTGTGAGGGTTATATAAGGTACATCAAGCATTAAGCACAATCCTCTTTCCCCGGTGGAGTAACTGAAGTTTCTACACTTCTGAGAGGGGCCTCACAATCTCTATCTCTATCTCTATCTCTATCTCTATCTCTATCTCTATCTCTATCTCTATCTCTATCTCTATCTCTCTATCTCTAATCTCTACCTGTGACTTAGACTGAAGGTCATGGTCTCACCATCCTTAGGGAAGCTCAGCTGGCCTAGAACATGTCTTTTCAGAATCCCAGGCAGTAAAACTTTCCGGTGGGTTAGCAGGGAAAAGGGAGGAAGCAAAATCGAGAGAAAGCCACACTTCACTATCCTTAAACCTGTGGGGGAAGATGGCATACGTGTGGTTAGATGCATGGGCTTGCCACCAGGGCTGGGTTTCCTGCTCCTCCAGGGACTTCGGGCAACATTTCAATCTCTCTGAGCCTCTTCCATCATCTCTAAAATGAAGAGAATATTAAATGGAGGTGAATAATGTAGACCTCATGGAGTTGTAACTGTTTAATGAGATGATGTATGTTGAGCACATGTTAGGTGATGTTAGCTGTTAGTAATGGAAATTATGAACCCTGCCACCCGGACACCTCACTGGTAAAGGGCACTCCCCTTCTGTGAGGCCTGGGATGGGTCACCATCTGTGTACGTCTCACTGACGTTGCTTCCGCTTCGAGTCTGAGCTATTGGTCACACCAGGAGCCTAAGGCTTTCCCCCCTTTTTGTCTGTTTCCCCTGGAGGTGCGTTGAGATGAGGAATGGTGCCTGGGATAAGGGGTCACCAGAGGGACAATGATACCTCAGCGGAGTCTCTTCCTCCATGAGGCCTGCAGGGCTTGCCTCGCTCCTTCATCCCACACACATTCATCCAACGCCCTCTGTGGTTGGGCTGGGCATGCAGAGGCGACCAAAGCACACACTGGCTTGGCCTCCTGGAGGTCGCAGCCTGGGGGGTGGGAGATGTCAGTTGGTGAAAGGGCAAAATCAGCTCGCAGAGGGTTGGGAGATGAACTTGGACGGTGTGTGTAGCGTCTGACTCGGAGTTGTCAGCACTCGTGTCCCTTCCTCCCTTATGACCCCGGGTCCCTCTCCAGTTCCCGGTCACCCACGGGGAACGAAGACAAAACAGCCACCATCCTCCGACAGGACTGAACGCATCCCGCACACCAAGGCAGAAAGCACGGGGTGGGGATGGGGACATGGTCACACCGTCAGGGCTCTGGCAGCTTCCGCAAGACCCGGAGGGCAAAAGCCACCCAAGCATCACCTCCCCCAACAGACATGCTTCGGGGCAGGGGGTCCGATCGGAAGGAGCTGGAGCCCGGACCTGTGTTCTCCTCATCTGCGTGGGGCTGAGGGCGGCCAGGGTGTGGATGGACACGGATGCCAGAGTCCCGTGTCCCGGGGTAATCTGGGATGTGGACACAGAGGCTCCAACTCGACCCTGAAATAGCAGTGCTGAGGGGCTCAGGAGCCAAAGAGGCGGGAAGGAGGAGCGGGCTGGTCAGCTGGCCACCTGCCTGCCCGGCCCTCGCCCCCAGGAGGTGCCAGCGAGGGTTCCTCCTCCTCCTGACACAGCCTGAGAGAGGAGTTGTCACTCGACCTTGGGGCACATTCCAGAATGAGGCCACAGCCAAAAATAGGGCCCAGGAGCCTGCCACCTATCCTGCCTGCATTACTCACACCTCCCTGCAGGACTCTGCCTCCTTGGGGAGGTGGGAGGAGACAGAATCAGGAAACGGAGTTGGGAAAAGGAGGGGACCCCAGTGAAGCTTCTGCATGGCCTTGGGGTCGGACAGCACACCGCAGGCCCGGGCCCCAGGACCTGCCAGTGAATTCGCCCATCCTGAGCTCGGTGAGCTGGGCCCGCAGGCCTCCTGGCAGTGATGCGGGCCTGAGGTCAGTGCCAACACGGAGGAGGACAAGACTTGTGGGGGAGCGTTTACAGAGCCGGGGAGCAGCGAGGCTTCCCAAGGAGCTGTCTGGAAGGATGAGGAGGCACCAGGCTGATGTTTTGCTCAGGAATCTAGGGCGCGACGGCTTATGTGTGCGATAGAAATACCACGTCACGTGGCAAGGTCGTCAGACAGCCCTGGGTGCTGAGTGTGTGGCTGACAGGAGGCGGGCTCTTTGGCGACCTTTGGATCCCCATGGGATTCCACACTGCCCAGCCCAGTGTGTGTGTGTGTGTGTGTGTGTGACACGCTGGGAGAAATATCATAGCATGAGCATTCAGAACTCTGAAGTCAGACTGCCTAGTTTCTGATCTTGGCTCTCTGACCCTTAGCAGCTGGGCGATCTTGGGCAAGTTTCTTATCCTCTGAGCCTCAGTTTCCCCACCTACCAAATAGCCCCCGCCTCAGACCGTTGTGATGGAGATGGCAAGACAGGATGTCCTGTCCTGTCGCACAGTGAGTGCCCACTCCATGTTGGTGTTGTAACAGGACAGCTGGACACAGGGCGTTCTCCCCGGCGAAGGAAATTACCACGTGGCTGTGCATTCATTCTGTCCCTCCCGGGTGCCGCCCCGGGTCCCTGCTCTCTGGCCCCACTGTCCAGGGGGTGACATCAGAGTATGGAGCAGCTGGCCAGACAATGGAGCAAAGTGTCCTAGGCGGCTGCAGAGAACGAGGGTGGAAAAAGCCATGCTGTCCTGCCCCAGAGGCTTTGGGGCTGGTCTGGAGACAGCGGCGCTAGACCAGCCTCTGAAGAGGCAAACAGAGGGACTGGAACAGGGCAGGGAGGGGCACGGGGGACAACAGATTCGAGGAGGGGAGCAGTAAGTGTCCAAGGTAGACAGGGAAGCAGGTGAGTCTGGCCTCGGGCCTGCAGGAGGGCTCCATCCCCGTATGTCCTGGGGCCCAGGCCGGGCAAGTCTCCCAGACTGGGAGACGGGTGGGGTGGCCCCCCAGGTTACCTGGCAACCAGGCCCTTTCCTGAGCACCTACTGGATGCCTGTTCCTGTGTAAGGCCTCACCAAAGGAGGACAGAGACCTAGGCATGGTTTCAAGGGCAGAAAAATAAATGCCGTGCAGTGGGTCCCGAGTTACAATCGATTCTAAATCAGCCCGTCCCTCGGTGCCCATGTCCTCTGACTCCCAGCTCACCCACGAGGGGTGATGGTGTGGATGTCCCCTGTGAGCAGCAGACGACGGTATTCGAACTTGTGGAGCCCGAGCCCAGAAGGAAAAGGGGAGGCTGGGACCCTGGGTGCCTGCTCTTGGCCCGGGGGCCGCGGAGGGACCAGGGGCAGCCGTCTGTGCCAGGCTCCGTGTCCTAGGCTTTCCCGTTTGACAAGATTAAAAGGGCCGAGCTCGCCAAGCCTCTCTAAAGAGCTCTGACTCCCCTCTGTTTTACAGACGGGGAAACGGAGGCTCAGGGACAGCGGATACGTGTCAGAGCCCAGAGTCCGACCGAGGGGGTCTGACCGCACAGGCTGGGCTTTCTCACCCTGCCAGGCTGGCGTTGGAGCGTGGCAGGGGCCCCAAGTCGGGGGCAGCGGGTGGGCAGTGAGCCGGCCAGAGGCAGCCCTGTGATCGGACTCCCCTGAACCTCACATCTCCACCAGGTAGCCACAGGCTCAGCCCCCGTCGCTGTGCAAGTGTGGAGAGGCGACAGGTGCTGGCATTTACCCCTCAGGCTCTAAGGTCATGTGCTATTTGCTGGGGCCCCTCGGCTTGGCAGCATGTGCAGCAGAAAGTCTCCAAGTCTCTGAGGGCGAGTGAGGCAGAGTCCTCATCTCTCTCGGTCCCCAGCCTAAGCAGAGAGAGCCGATGGCTGGTGCTCACACCATTTTGTTGTTGTTGTTTGCTAATCCTCACCCAAGGATATTTTTTCAATTGATTTTTAGACAGAGTGGAAGGGAGGGGGAGAGACACATTGATTGGTTGCCTCCCACACCTGCCCTGACCAGGGCCAGGGATGAAGCCTGCGGCCTGAAGTACATGCCGTTGACCAGAATTGAACCCAGGACCCTTGGGTCCCTGGTCAGTGCTCTATCCATTGAGCCACCCCAGCTAGGGCTCACACGTCCTTGGTGGCTGCGTTTTATGCTCAGGATTTTCCCAGTGGCAACGTGAGCAGCTCCCATCCTCTGGCCTCTCCTCTCTCTTGGGGAGCAGCTTATCTTCTCTGTCCTGGCCCTCTACCGCAGGGAGTTACCTCTAGGGAGGGCTGGGCTGCACTGGCTGGGCTGAGCCTGATTCCTCCTTGGGCCTGTGGACAGGGGACAGGTGTCTCTTGTGCTTAGCTGGCTCCCAGCCCGGGGGACAGGCACGCTGTGGGGGGCGCCATGCTGCAGGCTCCTGCACACACCTTCAGGGCAAGGGAGCAGCCATGAGCAGCTGAGGCCCAAGGTGCTGCTGTCTCCGTCCTAGGAACTGAGCCGCGTGCTCTGAGCGCCCTGGGGCTTGGGGACCGGGCCTCACCCTGAGGTCCCCTAGGGAGTCGCCGCTGGGCAGCCTGCCCTCCCGCCCCATTTCGGTTTCCTCCACCTGCCTTGGTGCACCCGGCTGCCATGATGAGGCGAGGGGATGATGTACAAACCAGAACACCTGGGCTGCCTCTGCGGTCTTCAGAAAGTCACCTGACCCGCAGAGCTACAGGGAGCACCACCGTGAAGGAGGCTCGGAGTGCAAGGGGGGCCGATGCCAGCTGGTCCCTCCACCACCCAGGTATGGTCCCGCGGGCCAGATCCCTCCTGCACGGCCCCCAAGCAAATGACACCGCCCCCTCCCCCCGGCCCCACGCACACATTAGCGCAAATGAATCACACAGGAAGGCCTGTTCATACTATGAGCTTTTAATTGGCTTCTTCCTCCTACGTCTGAGGAAGAAACGGAGGCCCCACAATGAGCTTCACCGGTTTTGGAGGGGCGTGTGCAGAACGAAGGGCTGCGGAGGGACTGGGGGGCAGCGGCAGAGCTGACAGGGGCTCCCGAATCCTTCACGTGGCGGCAGGTGGCTGGACCTGCACAGGAAGTCCAGAAACAAAATCTCCAGCGAGCTGCCGCATCTCACACAGCCTCCCTCCAGGCCCTGCAGCTCCCGAGGCCACCACCAGGTGGGAGCCTTGAGCAGCATTCCTTCCCCTCCCCAGCCGGCCTCCCTCCTCCCTCCTCATTCCTCCACCAGCCCCCTTCCCTGCCTGCTTTTCCTCTTCCTTCATTTCTCCTCCTACCAAACCAGATCCTGGGGTTTCTACTGCTCTATTCCACGGAAGCCAGTGGCAGATGAAAGCACCCTGTCAATGGGATCTGCTGCTGGTGGGACCCCCGGGATCTGGACACTGCGTTCAGTCACCGTGAGTTCTCTGTGGTCCTAGCACCTGGCACCCAGTAAATGTTCCGAAAATGTCTGTTGCGTCGGCCTGAACCAAACTGGATTAATAAATCAACAATCAATAACCAATCAATAAAGCCAAGGAGATGAAACACGAGAAACGTGTGTTCTGCTGGTGGCCTCAGAGACCGCAGGGCCAACCTGACCGACGCGCAGGCTGACCAGCACCCAAGGGTGCCTGCCAAGCAGCCTCCGCCCGGGGAAGGTGTGTGCTGGGCTGGACCAGGCCCTGCCTCCCACTTCCCAAGACCCCGAACATGCAGTGGTCTCTGCTCATGGTGGTCGGGGGTGGGGGCGGGGGGAGGAGCTGTGGGGAATGTGTCCAGGAGTCCCTGGGCCCTCCTTCCTCTCCTCACCCACCCCTTCTGTAAACCAGCTCATTCCATGATTCCTGTGACTGCCAGGCAGCCACCACCTCTAGAGCCCCGGTGGGGGGGAGGTTGGGGGGGAGGGCGGCTGGGAGACCCTTGGAGGAGGGGGATGGCCAGCACAGAGAGGGTCATGGTGCCCAAGGCGATCGGTCGTCAGGAATAATTTACAAGCGTCTACTGCCTTCTCCTCTGTCCCCCTAAGCTAACAAAGATAGGAACCCCTTACTGAACCCGCAGACCAGAAGTTGATCTAAGACCCTCTGGTGGCTCTGTTCTGACCAATGTCCCTCTGCTGGCCTGAGACTGTCCAATCTGACCTTGCCCAGTTTGCTAACTGAGGGGCGTCCGGGTGGGGGGGCGGGGGGTGGACCGGGGACGGGGGAGGGGCTCAGTGTGAGCCCGGGAACTCCTTGAGGACCTCGCAGGTCTTCCTGTGCAGGACCTCGCGCAGCTTCCGAACCCGCCGGCCGCTGGACGCTCCCACAAAGCTGTCGGGCCTCAGCATGGCCATGCCGCCCTCCACCTCCCCCATGATGATGAGCGGCGTCTCGCCCACCGTCACGTTGGGGCAGGGGCAGGTCCAGTCCACGTGGAGCAGCGTCACCTCCAGCGGCTCCCGGCCCAGGAACTTGAGGCCCATCTTCTCGTCCTTCAGGACCTCGTCCACGGTCACCAGGGCGCGGCCCGCGTCGGGCTCCTCGGTCAGCTCGGACACGCGGCCCAAGATGACGAAGTCGCTCCGGCAGAAGCTGGTCACGAGCTTCTGCCGGGGCTTGCAGGCCTGGCAGCGCTGGCCGCCCCACGGGAAGGGGCAGGACTCCTCGCAGGCCTCGCGGCTCTCGAAGTTGTTGCCGTTGCCCTCGCAGCCGCCGTAGACGAAGGACTGGCACTGGCCCGCCTGGCGGTTGTAGGCCCAGCGGGGGGCGTAGGCCTTGCAGGGCCCCTGCAGGGCGGGCAGGCTGCAGGCGGCCAGCGGCCCCGTCATGCAGGCCCGCGCGCAGGCCGCGTACGTCTCGAAGTGGTTGCGGTTGCGGTGGCAGTGGCCGAAGGTGAAGGTGAGGCAGTTGTTGGCCTGGGCGTCGAAGTGCCAGCCGGTCTGCTCCTCGCCGCAGTCCTCGCTGTCGGGGGGCTGCAGGCACTCGGCCGCCGGGAAGGCCGTGCCGTTGGGGCCGCTGTCCTCGGCCGTGGCCGCCGCCTGGCCCCCCCGGACCACCGACAGCGGGAAGTCGGCGCGCAGGACGCCGGCGGCGTTGCGGGCCGTGCAGGTGTAGATGCCCGCGTCCTGCAGCTGGGCGTTGTAGATGACCAGCTGGCCGATGTTGGTGACCACCACGTTGCCGCGCACGTGGTTGGGCCGCATGACCACGTTCTCCCGGTCCTCCAGCTGCTTCTCCCAGGTGACGTCCGGCCGGGGCCGGCCCACCACCTCGCAGAGGAAGCTCACGGTCTCGCCCACGGTCACCGACTGGTGCGCGGGGTGGGTGAGCAGCGCGGGGGCCGCCGCGTCCCGCCCGGGGGTCTCCGGGGGGGCGGTGGTGGGCGGCACCGTGGTCTCGGGCAGCGGGGGGCTGGTGTTGGGCCAGGTGAAGTGATAGCGGCAGGTGACCACGGCCAGCGTGATGCCCTTGGAGCAGGCCTCCGCGTCCATGTAGCAGCGGTTGTAGTAGGTGAGGCCGTCCGAGGCGCAGGTGAAGCTGGGCTCCTTCTCGCAGCGGTCTCTGCACTTGCACACGGGCTGGCCGTCCCAGATGTCGCACTCGGAGCCCTGCTGCAGGCACATGAAGTGGTCGCACGTGGCCTCCTGGGGCATGCCCACCGGGCCCTTCTTCCCCTTCACGTCCATGTAGCGGGCGGCCACGCAGCTCTTGGTCCCACACACGTTGGGGCAGCACTTCTCGTAGGTCTCACATTCCTGGAGGGAGCCAGAGCGAGAGGCCTGAGCGAGGGGAGGGAGGGAGGACAGGCTTCCCTGCCCTGCCCCACGGTTTCTGTAGAGAGAACTGATATGTGCTCATCGTTCTTATTTTAAAATATATATATATTTTATTGATTTTTACAGAGGGGAAGGGAGAGGGATAGAGAGTTAGAAACATCGATGAGAGAGAAACATCGATCAGCTGCCTCCTGCACGCCCCCTACTGGGGTTTGGGCCCACAACCAAGGTACATGCCCTTGACTGGAATCGAACCCAGGACCCTTCAGTCCATGGGTTGATGCTCTATGCACTGAGCCAAACTGGTTAGGGCTCTTATTTATTGATTTTTCTTAGAGAGAGAAAGGAAAGGAGAGGGAAAGAGACATAGAAGCATCAGTGGCTGCCTCCTGGGGATTGAGCCCCAAACCCAGGCATGTGCCCTGACTGGGAATAGAACCGGGGGCCTCTCTGTTCATGGGACAGCACTTAACCAACAGAGCCACACCAGCCAGGCATGTGTGCCCATCCATCCTGAGCAAAATGTTCTGGTGATTATAGCTAATGTGCACAGAGCACCCGCTATGCACCCGCCAGGACAAGCATGTTTGCGTTTGTCAACTTAGTCACTGCTCATCGCAAGCCTATGGGTGGGTGTACCATTCTCCCCACTTCACAGGCGATGATCACTGAGGCACAGAGAGGGCAGGTGACTTGCCCAAGGCCACACAGCTAGTCCTGTGGGAAGAGCCCAGCCACAGCCCTCTTCCTGCAGGCGCACAGCTGAGCACGCAGAGCCTCGGGCGGCAATGCCGAGTGCACAGGGCCTGTGCTGGGGAAGGGCTCCGGGCTCCTGGGGGTGGAATTCTAAAGTGAGGTTTTACCTTCTACGTCACATGCACCATCCAGTGACCACGGATGAGGTCTAGGTGGGCACAAACACCTCTTTATCTTTTTTTCCCTTCGGGGTAAGGCTGCCCTGGCCGCAGGGGAGAGGTCACACCAAACGTCGAGAAGGAAAAGGGGGACCGAGGTTCGAGGCTGGCTGCACGCACCTCGGAAGCAGCGGCTCCGATGAGAGGCCCCATCCGTCCACAGCCCAGAGGAAGGAAGGGCGGGACAGGCCCAGGACGCCAGGTCGGCCACCACGGGCTGTGCCAGACCCTGGCGCCCACTCCCAACGCGGGGGACATTTCATGGGGAAATCAACAAGGAGGCTGCCAGGGACTTACACGCCTGTAATTCCCTCCGCGCCTCTGTGGAGCCACCTTAGGCATTCATTCCTGGTTTAATTCCTAGAAATTAGCAGCGAGCTCAGGGCCGACACAAACAAAAAATGTCACGTGGTGTTTTCGACAATAACACCTCATACCCACTGGGCGGTGGGCACCGCGCCCAAGCCTCTGCCCTGGTAGTAGCTCTGTGAATTGCTCCCCACAAGGGCTGGCCTGTCGCGGTTCCAACGTTCTTTTCAGCCTCTGACATTCCGCATCAGCTAAGAGGGGGACGCCCCGCCCGGAGCCCGCCCGCCCGGCTTGTTTACAGTTTTCCCCTCTCGGCTCAGAATGGGGACTTTGTTTTGCAGCCCTTGCTTGGCACAGGCTTCCAGGCCGTGCGGGGGGAGGCCTGGGGACAGGGATGGGCAGACCTCAGAGCTGGGTCTGGGGGAGAAAGGCCTGGTGGGGGATTGAGCACGGAGAACCGGCCCCTGAGCCAGAGCGTCATTCCATTCCCTAAGGGACGCAGATCCCTGACAGGGGGGGTCCCAGGCACCTCGGGGAGGGTGTTTTGGGCACGAGGAACCTGGAGGGGATCCTTAAGGGCCCAGAAGGGACCCATAGGCCACCTGAGTCTCCAGCCCACACAGGTGTCTTCTTTCCAAGGCACACAAAGTCGGCCAGTCTCCCTGTCCCATGGATCAGGCCAGTCTGTGCCCATGAAACAGGCTTCCCTGCAAATGGGGCCAACGACACAGGGTGGCCCCACCGAGATGGGACCGCTCTGGCCCCCCTACCCTCCTGGTCCCCCTTTCCCTCTGCACCGTCACTGCTCAGGCCGTATCCGCTGGAGAAGCCGGAGAATTGTCCCCCAGGCAAGCTTCGAGGCCAAGGCCCCTCTCCCAGGGGTCCTGTGCTCCCCCGTAGGCAACAGGAGGGAGCACCAGGGTCTCTCATGTTCCCTGAGCCCCAGGAGCTGGCCAGGCCGACAGGACGCGCCTCTGCCCAGGCAGGTGCCAAGTCCCAGCAGGCCCTTGACTGCCCGGGGAAGTGGCAGGAGTGGCCCTTGGACTCAGGAGCTGGGAGAGAATTGCCCTGGGAGCAGGCCTGCCCTGCGTGCTGCAGGGTGCTCTGATGAGGGCAGAAGGGGGGACCCAGAAATCTGGCGGACGAAACTGAGTCCACTTCCTCCCCAGAGAGTCCGCTCAGGGCTGTGCCCGTCCACCTCCTTGTCAGCCTGTCTGCTCTCAGCGCCGGGGTCCAAGCCCCTGGGAGGTGGTCTGGAGGCCGGATGAAGCCTCAGCTTTGTTGCCAGACAGACGTGGGTCCCAAGCCCATCCCTGCTCACTGCACCGTCTGGCCTCACCTGTCCACGGGCTGCTGACACCTGCGCCTGGCATAGCCCTGGCTCAGAGCCGCCCTCAGCGAACACGAGACCAGGAATTCCAGGGCTCTCAGTCCCTGATGAACTTGAACATCACAATCACCTCTTCTTCTGGGCCTCAGAGTCAGACAGACACACACCCTGTTTATCTCCCTGGGGCCTGCGTGACTTCAGGTTCCTGGGCCCTGCAGGGCACCCCTGAGCGGTCCCCACCCACGGCTCCCACCCTCCTTCACTGACACACCTGCGTGGTCCACCTCGCGCTTCCAGAGTCCCACTCACCTGGTCCGTCTCACACTCCCGCTTGCAGGTGCTCTGGGCATCCACCCAGAGGTTGGGGTTCATGTCGTTGGGGCAGATGCCAGCGTGGGAATAACGGATGGGTGGCAGTGCCAGGCCTCTCGGGGGCACCCCGAGCAGGAGCAGCAGCACCGCCACCCGCCCCCAGCGGGAGCAGAACCGGCGGCCTCCCAGGGCCCACATGGTGCGGTCTGCGGCGGCCAGAGGCCTCCCTGGGACGCTGCCAGGGGCTGGACCCACCGGCGCCTTCTCCCTCTCGGGGCTGCAGACACCTGCCCTCACCCCCACCCCCAGCAGGCGTCCTTGCTGCTGGTCAGGCTGCGGCTGCCCAGGCCGCCTCCAGCGAGCAGTGGAGCCCGCTGAGTTGTGCGGCTTCAGAGGAAAGAAAGGTCTTTGCAAGGAAGCCCTCTCTCCTGAGAGAGCGGGGAGGGGAGCCCCAGCAGGGGCCCGGCCGGGATTTATACCCTGGGCGCCCCCCGCGTGGGAGCGAGCTAACCTGATGCCTGTCACAGGCCGGCTGCGGCTCCTCTGTCCCGGCTGACCACAGACTTTCGCAGAAGGAGAGAAAGCTGGAAGCAGTTTAGGCGGCGTATCTGGCACGGTGGGACACCTGCTTGATTTTGACTCCAGGAGGCCTTTAACCCCTTCAGGGGCCAGAAATGGCATGTGCTCTGGGGGAGCTGGCTCCGGGACACGCACGCTCACTGGGCAGGAGCGGCGTGTTTCCCTCTCCCCCACCTCCCCGCCGGCCCCCTCCTCCCCGGGGCCACCTCTGCAGAACACACAATCGCTTGTTACGAGGAGGGACCTGCCGCCGCAGGGTTCGGTTCGCCCGCCCGATCGTACATTTGAGAGCAAATGACGTGGAAAAACAACAAGTTCACGGCCGTTCGAGGGCGGGCCTGAGCAGCGGCGTGCGGTGTAAGCAGACTCCCACCCCAGCACCGGGTCCCTTTGGGGGCTGGGGGTGGGGGGTGTGCACCGACAGTTCCCTATCTTTCTATCCCGGGCAGTTTGGTCTCAAGTTCCAACTTCGGTGATTTTTCCCCCAAATCATTCCAGACACACATACCAGATACGCTCCGGCCCCCCGGCTGCCGGGATGTATCACATTCCCCGCTCCTCCGCTGACACACTTCTGGCTCCAAGAAAACCTACGGGTGTCTTGGGGCGCTGGGCAGCCGAGCAGCCCTTGCTACGGCCCAATGGCTGCGTTTGGGGAGCTCTTTCGGGGTGCCAGGCACTTTGCAGTTGTCTCATTTACCCCCGACCTTACAAAGAAGGAGAGAGCGAGGGACTTGCCCACGGTCGCCCACAGCAAACAGTGACAGCAATACCATTTAATAATATTTACTGGGCTCCTCACAGGTGCCGGCTGTCCGTACGCGGCATCTCGTTGAATCCTCACAAACGGTGCCTTTATTTTAGAGTTGAGGAAGGAAGGCACAGAGAGACTAAGCAACTGGCCAGCGTCACACAGCCACGGCTCCGTTAATATGCGAAATGGGAACGCCAGCTTGCGGGCCCTCTGGAAACTGCTCCACCCACCGCATCTGTCAGAACTGCTGTCCAGGTACATGCCAGGCTCGGGTGTTCACAGGCTGGACGCGAAGTGTGTGGAACCCCAGGGGCTGTGTCTGTGGAGGGGCCAGGACCAGGGCCAGGAGCTGCTGGGGGTGGGGGTGACTTCCCTCCTGTTTGGCCGGAGATGGCTCCCATCTAAAATGCCCTGTAAAGGGGACAGGCTGGCTGAGTGTTTTTGACTTGGTCACTCGATCCCCAGGGGGTAAGAGATGGGGAGACAGGTTCCTAGAAAGGGCACCTTGTCGAGGTCAAGCCCTGTAGGATTTGGGGAGCAGCATCTGAGCTGCTGTGTCTCAGGATGGTGGGCGGGGTGGGCACAGCATATGTCAGAGCCAGAAGGGACCCGGAAGGTCCCGGGCAGTGCTCCCATTTTACAGATGGGCAAACTGAGGCCTGAACCCAGGTCCCCCCCTTTTCCCAGGCCAACTCTCCCCCGCAGGGCTGCAGCTCACCGTCCACTTTGACCGCAAAAAGGCAGCGAAAAGGCCCTTTTTTCTACCCTGCAGACCCCTTCCCGGCCTCTCAGGGTGGCGTGCTGCCTTCTCCTACCTGAGCCTGTTGTGTGGGTCATTCTGCAAGATCTGTCTTTCCTGCTTATGTCAAAGAGTTAATGAAGGGTGTCAGAGCCTAATCCTCTAAATGACTGGAATAAACTTCCCTCCGAGGCCAGGCCCAGTAATGAAGCCAGACAGCGGGCGGCGCCGGCTGCTTTGAATTCCCTGTAATTTCATAAACCCGGGTTCCAGCTGCTCCGCGTGAGGCCTCCGCACACGCTGGCTGGACGAACGCGGTGTGAGCAGCCTCCTTTGATATCACAAAGGGAAATGGACGGTGACACATTTCTAAGCAGGATTTAGGAAAACTGTCACAGCCCCATTAGGTGAGGACAAGTACCCAGGGAGAGGAGGCTGATTTCTGGGGAGTCGCTTGAGAGCATTAGAGGGGGGCGGGGGTACGGGGAGGAGGAGGGACAGGGAGCAGAGGGGGGAGGGGGAGGGGCAGTCAGCAAAGCAGGGACCGCTGGGCTCCTCGCGCTGCTCCAGGTCGATGCAGAAAGCCCTGGCCCAGCTCCTTCGAGAGCCACGGCCTCCCTGTCCCAGGGCCCCATCCCGGCCATGCTGCTCTGAGATCTCTCAAAACCGCATTGGGGGAGAAGGAGCTCTCCAGCTTCACGCTCAGCACTTCCAAGTCTCCCACCAAAACACAGCTCAGGATAATAAATAACATCTGATCAGGGCTGGAGCCTACACTGTCTTCACGCCATCCGCACCGCTGGCCCTCGTGCCAGCCCCACGAGGGAGCCCGGGAGGGGGGGGGGCGCTGCCGGGAGCTCTGGTGAGCAGGAGAAACCAAGTCACAGAACCGTGAGCTGGCCACCGGCACCCCGGGCTCAAGGCCTCCGCTCCCAGACCCCGGGGCCTGTGCTCTTGGCACAGTCCCGTGCAAGCCTCCAGCCCCTCCAGCAAGGCCCCCGCTGGCCGCCCCGCCAGCCCCGCCTGTTTGTAAGCTGCTCTGGGAGCACTTTGAAGTCTCTTCTCCTGGCCCCTCCCTCCACAGCCCGGACCGGGCTCTGCCTGACTCTGTCTCCCTGGAACTCTGGTGGCTGGCGTGGGCCCCCCCCCAACCTCTGGTACCAAGTGAGGGCTCAGCCGCCCACTCCCACTGTCCACCAGGCGATCCCCCCACCTCCCGCCCCCCAAGAGCTGGTCTCCGGGGAGTGGAACCTGGCTGGGTGGGCCTGACCTTGGGGGTGACCCTTGCCTTTCCTCCTCCCCCAGGGCATTGGGCACAGCTGGGTCGGAGAGAGGGCTGGGCTCTGACTTCAGCTCAGAAGAGCCCCGCCCACACCCCTGCTGAAGGGCAGGGGGACCACAGACCCTTCTCGCCCTCCAGGGTGCTTTCAAGGCCTCCTCTAGGTGCATCACCCCGACAGTGAACTCTGGGTGACCCCTGACCGCAGGTCCCCATTTAGCATAACAACGCCTGAGCAGGACAGCAGAGCTGACACCACTTTACAAACTGGCCAGCCCTCTCCCCTCCAGGGACCTCAGCCACACAGGTGGTGGGGATGCCCAGAGACCCTCAGAGACAGACACCAGGCCAGCACGGGCAGCCACTCATCACACACCAACCTCTTACCTCGCCAAGCATCGCCTCCCTCCTTCCCTACTTGATTTTTTAAACAATGATGTATTTATTTATTTATTTATTTAGTTAGTTAGTTAGTTAGTTAGTTAGTTATTTTTGAGAGAGAGAGAGGAAGGGAGAGTGAGAGGAAGAAACATCGATGAGAGAGAAACATTAACACCGATTGGCGGCCTCCTGCACACGCCCCGCTGGGGATCGAGCCTACAACCCAGGCGTGTGCCCTGCCCTGGAATCAAACCAGTGACCTCTCAGTGCACAGGAAGACGCCCAACGAACTGAGCCACACTGGCCAGGGCACCTACTTGATGTGTTTGAAGGCACCTACTACGTGCTGTTCTGGGTACACAGAGATGGATGCAGTCCTTGTTCTCAGAGAGGGCACCGTCTTGGCCAGAAAACAAGCACGGAAGAGCCTGACGGGAAAGTAAACGCTGTCTTGGGGCCCTGCAGGTGCGGGGAGCAGGGAGGCAGGGGAGAGGCCTGGGGTTGCTGTTGTGCAGCTGTGACCTGGGTGGGTCTTGAAGCCTGAGCAGGAGTCTATGAGGAGGCGGCTTCCTACACTTCTCCTTGGAAAGTCCTGGCCCACAGCACAGCCTGCTCAGCCAAAGCCCCCCTCCTCAGGGCCCAGGCCTCCAGGAAGGAGGAGTGAGAGGGAAGCCAGTGGGTTTAGGAGACGAGGGGAGGGGGGAGCTGCAGGTCTTGCTTCCCGCACGGGGCAGCCTCAGCAAAGTCAAACCAGCAGCCCAGTCTGGTCCACCCTGTGCGGGGCCCCCAGGCTGGAGCCAAATGGATGGGAGAGGCCAATGCCCAGGGAGACTCCCTGCCCTGATGCTGTCAGTCAGACATATCTGGGGAGGAGGAAGGATTTCAGCAGCTGGGATTGGGGTTCAGGGGAGAAGAAGTCCTTAGTGAGGGTGCTCGGACGGCTTCTCAGAAGGCTGGGCTGCCTCAGCTGAAGGCAGTGATTAGTCAGATCCAAGGCAGGGAATTCAATAAAGCCGGCTGCTCGTTACCCAGCTGGGGACCCCCTGCCCGAGCGGCCGTGGCCTGGGTTACATTACAGGGCTGTGTGAACTCTCCCCTCCAAGTGAGACGGCACCGGGCCTTGGAATAATTATGGGGCCTCAGCAGATGGTGGAGGCGGACGGACGGGGGAGGCCTTCAGCTGTGGGACACGTGACCACCGGCATCTGTGCGGAGCGGGACATGGGAGGGTCCACGCTGGGCCCCGGGGGAGGCAGTGCTGAATCGAGATCTGAGAGTTATGGGGTTGGCCGTGGTGGGGCACGACCCAGGGCCTTGGGCCTCCTTTAGACTCTGGCCTGAGCCAGGGGGGCATGCTGGGCGCGGGGGGGGGGGGGGGGGGCAGTCTCTGGAAGCTGGAGTACAGTGTCTGAATGGATCTCTGTGTTATGAAGCAAGAACAGGAGACACAACTGGTTCAATACATTTCAGGGCCCCTTCAAGCCTCTAATGCCTCCCCAGAAAGGTGGGCATCAAGGCATCGGTGGATTTCAGCCCCGTGCCAGCCCCTCACCCACTTGGGAAGCTCCGTGGTGCTTGGGTTGAGCTCCGTGCCAGGAGTCAGGACCCCAGGTTCTCACCGTGGTCTGCCACCAGCCCACCGCGCGACCACCTCTACGCCCCCATCCGAGGCCCCTTTCAGCTCCCCCCTCTGTGGCTCCGTGCCCTGGTTCCTCCAGCTTTGCCTTGGTGGAATCTGCTCTAAGCAGCCCCGAGCAGCTCCCAGCCAAGACAAACACAGGAGAGACGAAGCTAGAAGGGGATGCGGGCCGTGTCCGCGCCACAGCTCTGCTCTGCTGGGCGGGAGCAAGGGCCGTTTCCACGGTTCCCAGGCCTGGGGTTCAGCAGGAACGCTGCACGAAGGGGGATGGCCTCCCTCCGGCTCAGGCCTCCCCCTCCTAGAAGCCTCCCTCCACTACTCAACTCTCTCTGCCCTCCTGTTCTCTTCCTTGGGGGGAGAGAGATGAGAAGGACTCAGGCTCTCGGGTCTCCCTGCTTCCTCGCACTCCGCTGAGCGAAGCGGCAGGAATTCTCCAAAAACAAACGCATCCCTCAGGCCCCTTTCAGCAGCACCAAGTGCACAATGATGGGGGGCGGCGGGGGGGGGGGGGGCGGTGAGAAACAGGCCTCCCCCGGCTGACAGTTACTTCAGGTCTCCCCACCCTTCAGCATGAAGCCGGAGGCATCTACCCTGGGTCACCACGAACTCCTGCCTCGGTTTACGTCTCCCGTAACTTCTCCACTATCTTCTGCCCCTTTCTCTCTCAGGCTCTGGAAGCCACCATCTTGCTCTTTCGGATCTTTAATAGCTGCACACACTTTTTTGTTGTTGTTAATCCTCACCGGAGGATTTTTCCCCCCTTGATATTTATTTTTAAAAAATTATATATATATATATATAAATTATATATAATTATATATATATATTATTGATTTCAGGGAGGAAGGGAGAGGGAGAGAGATGGAAACATCAATGATGAGAATCATTGACTGGCTACCTCCTTCACCGCCCCCTGCTGGGGATCAGGCCCGCAACCCTGGCACGTGCCCTTGACCAGAATTGACCCTGGGACCCTTTCGTCCACAGGCTGACGCTCTATCCACTAAGCCAAACTGGCTAGGGCTCCCATTGATGTTTAGAGAGAGTGGGGGAGAAGGAGGGAAGGAGGAGGGAGGAAGAGAACAAAACATCCATGAGTGAGAGACATGGATTGGTGGCCTCACGCATGTGCCCCGACCTGGGCCGGTGAGGGCAATAGAGAAAGGGGACAGTAGGCCGGGCCTGTCCTGGAAGTGACAGCAGGCTGGCCGAGGCGTGGCTGGAAGCTGTGGCTGCCCTCTGCTCTCTTTCAGTCGATGACAGTTACATGCAAAGGGGAGGAAGGCGAAAGGAGGGGATGAGGAGGGATAGGTGGCTGCCCCGGGAATCGAAAAAGAGACATTTCCCACGCAGGGCAGCCCTTGCTCAGGAGAATCAAAGCTGACGGTTGGGTTTCATCACAACTTCCTCCCACCGGCTGAGGCTGAGACGGGACCTCGAGTTTTGAGTGACTCGGAGGCCAGACCCTCGCCAGACCTCAGGGAACAATGGGACTCGTCAACTCTGTACAAACCTGTGGGCTCCTTCCACCGAACCCAGCAGGCCAGAGGTCAGGGCTTAATTAGCACGACTGCCATGACCTGCCCCGTTGAGTGCCTCCTAAACGACTCAGTTCATTGACTCCCTGGTGTGTGTGCTCCAGGCTGTTTTACTCTAGAACAGAAACTGACGGTCAAGATGGTCTCACAGTAAAGACGCTCAGCAGGGCTTTGGGGGGCTGAGGAGCTGAGCACTGAGCCCCACAGCTGGAAGCCTAGCTCTCCCCCATCGGCCAAGAGGGCTGGTGGCATCTGACAGGCTTTTAGGAGCAGGTGCCGGAGGAGGGGCGGAGCGGAGCGGAGCGGAGCCCACCTTTAATTTATGGTTCTTGAAGAAGAAAACTCCTCTATGGCAGGGACTCTCAAGTGTTTTGACAACTCAGAGTAAGAAATACTATTTTTTCCTCATCGTGATTCAGTACACATATTCGTATGCATAACTGAAACAAACGTTTTACAAAATAATAGTTACCCTTTCTACACGGGATGCCCTCTTTAGTGTTGGAAACGTTGGAGATCACTTAGAAAGGTTGGGAACAGCAAAAGGCCAGGGATTTGGGGACTTCTGTTGTCTCCATCAGAAGACTCAAGGTGGCAGGATGCAAGATTAATATACAAAAGCCCATTGCTTTCCTTTATTCCATCAATGAACACTTGGAATTTGAAATTAGACAGACAGCCACTTGGAGAGAAGCACATGGAGTAGCAGTACGGTACCAGATGTGAGTGCCTTTCCTTGGGCCTTCTAGCCTAGCCACCAGCTGAATGTGGCGGAGTGAATATCTCAGACAACGCCACACCGGGCAGAAGAACCGCCTGGCTGAGCCCTGCCCAAACTCCCGAGCCACAGAATCATGAGCAAATGAAATGTTTGATGCCACTTACTTTGGGGATAATGTGTTGTACAGCAATTTATAAATGGAAGAGGCATGTAGGGACAGTGTGGAGGCCAGTTTCAGCTGCTCCACCCATGATCACCAGATGCCAGAGACGAGGATCCTGCCTGAGTTGCCTTTAGAGCAGTGGTTCTCAACCTTCTGGCCCTTTAAATACAGTGCCTCATATTGTGACCCAACCATAAAATTATTTTCATTGCTACTTCATAACTGTAATGTTGCTACTGTTATGAATCATCATGTAAATATCTGATTTGCAGGATAGTCTTAGGCGACCCCTGTGAAAGGGTCGTTCAACCACCAAAGGGGTCACGACCCACAGGTTGAGAACCGCTGCTTTAGAGAGTATGAGATGGAACACGGGGGCCTGTTAAGTCTGTGCCTGCAGCAATGTCATTAGAGGGGCCCGGAGTGTGGGCTTGGAGGGAAGCACCACCAACAGATCCAGCATCCCAGATCTAAGGTGACTGATGAGTCATGAATGTCAGCAAGCATTTTTGAGGAGCTGTTGTGTGTCCTGTGCTACACGCAGAACTGGGGAGCTAGTGGAGAATAAGACAGTGGCGGCCTCCATGTTCATGGATTTGAAAGTTTGGTGTAGGTTACAGATACTAGACAAACACACAAATGAATAGAAATGACAGATTAGGGGGGAGGGCTAAAGGAAACAGGGTGCTTGACCCCGGGGAACAGCGCCAGGCCGCTCTCCACTCCCTGGCCCGTGTCCCCCGCCTGTGGAGGACAGGAAGGCGGCTGGAGGAGGCTGAGTGCCTGGCAGGCTCAGGTTCTGGGGAAGAGTGTTGAGGGTTAGAGCCCTGTCTCCAATGTAGAGCAGGGGTCAGGGAAGGACTTCTAGAGGAAGGGGTGTCGACACTGAGCCCTGATGGATGAATCACAGGCAGCCAGGCACTGCCCTGGCAACCCATTGAAAACATAAGAACCAATCACTATGTCAGCATTTGGGCCTCTCCTATGAGCAGGAAGTAGGTAAACAGTGGAAAGCTAACGCCCACTTCATGGCAAGATGGTTGGGGACAGAGAATAGGACCAAGAAATGGGCCAGGCCCATTGTCAGGAGCCACCAGGAGGACTTCCTGCTAGTGAAGGGCTAGGGAGGTAAGGTTCCTCTTTAAGGCTGAGTTCAGAGGGTGGGGCAGAGGGCAGGGGAGGGCCTTCCCCAAGAAGATTGGAGAGGCCTGTCTCAGCAGCAGGGCCGTGAGCTGGGAGAGGAAGAGGGAGCAGGAGACGCCTCTTCAAGGGAGTTGGCCCCTCCATACGTCCAGGTTTCAACCCATGGGCAGTGACCGTGAGCCTGCCAACCTGCTCAAGTGTGGCCTCAGGTATGCAAGGGTCCGGGGAGGCAAAGACCCCACCACTGAGGTTAGAGGGCATTACAGTGTTGGGGTGAGGGTTCAGTGCCAACTTCTCCTCCCCTTGGGGTTTCCCAGAGAGAGTGCACACACAGAAGACCAGGGCCAACGGGACTGGCCCAGTACAACTTTAATTGACTTTAGGGTCGGAGCCCCTCCTTCGCCACAGAAACTTCTAGGAAGATAGACCCAGACTGAGAGGGAGCTCAGGCCGAGCGTCTCGGGCCGCTTTACCTCCCAGCTTCCTCTCCGGGGCCATGGGGTCAGTGATGGCCGACTGGCCCAGCCCCCAGCCACGGGTGGAGAAGATGGACCAGGAGGAGAGGATGGCCAGGCCCCCAGCAGCTCACCCGTCACTGGGACAGTGGCCCCAGGTCTGGTTGCTGTGTGGAGAAGGAAGGAAAGGCAGAGAAAGGGCCTGGCTGCTTTTCAAGGAAGAGAGGGTGTGGGTCAAGGAAAGCAACCCCTCCCTCCTCCCCCATGAGAAAGCTGTGGGTGAATGGATGTTCTTGCCACCCACCCAATAGAATGAGCACCCTTCCCCTCTCGCCCCATCCTCTCCATCTTCCTGCTCCAGCTGAGGGGGGTCCTTCTGGTTGACATCAATGCTGCCAATGTGTTGGTTCCCTACACTGTTCTCCCTTCCACCTTCTTAGCAACGTGATCCCGTCATTATGCCTGGTCTCTCCCCGGTCTCTCCCCGGCCGCTCTCCACTGGATCATGTTAGTGTTTGCATACACCCCGGTCCCTCCCGTCCCCAACACATAATGAGATCACTCCCTCGACAGCAGGCTCCTCCTCCCGGACAACCTGCCTCCTCGCCTCCCGGGTCAGCCTGCATTCTCTGTGTCCATGTCCTCGCCTCCCAAGTTCAACTCACATCTCGCCCTAGTGCACGCTCTGACCCAGCTCCCCACGCCTCACTTTGCTAACAAACCTGCTGCGAAGGCCACCAGCAGGGCCCTAAATGGCGCACCCAGCCCTGCATTTCTCCACCTCTCTGCAGCATGTGACGTGCTGACCAAGGCTCTCAGGAAATGCCCCTTTCCTGGCCTCCACGCACCTCCCTGGTAGCTCCTCCCGCTCTCCTTCTCCCCCTAACCCCCCACCCCCCGTGTGTCAAGGCTGCATCTGGGGCCCCCTCCCCTCCGGGCACCACGCTGCCCCTCCCCCTCCCAGCCAGGGGCTTCCCGTGCTGGCTGCACAGTGGGATCAGCTGGGAGCTTTAAAAACCCACCAGCACCTGGGCGCTCCCCTAATTAAATCCCAGTCACTAGACGGGGGCCAGACCTGGCAGCTTCAAAAGCTCCGAGCGAGTCTGAAGGTGCAGCCAGGGTTTCAAGCCGCCGCCCTGGGCGACCTCGTTCCCAGCCTTCGAGGCACCAGGAGCTTTCAGAGTCGGATCTGCACTCAGAGGCCCAGACACATGGCTGCTGCCCCAGAGGCGTCTCATAGGAAGCTGGTTCAGCGGTTCCGTTCCAGGACCTCACATGCTCATTCTACCAGCCGTGGGCAAACTACGGCCCGCGGGCCGGAAATGAATAAAACTAAAAAAAAAAAATAGACCGTACCCTTTTATGTAATGATGTTTACTTTGAATTTATATTAGTTCACACAAACACTCCATCCATGCTTTTGTTCCGGCCCTCCGGTCCAGCTTAAGAACCCATTGTGGCCCTCGAGTCAAAAAGTTTGCCCACCCCTGTGTTCTTCCTTTGCCTGTGTCTGACCTGCCTCTCCATGTCCACAGGGGACTCACTAAGGAAGACATTTTCTTTCCGGCCTAAGAAAGACCTTCATCACATTTCCAGAAACAAGTTTATTATTTTTATCTCTTGAATCATACATGGGGGGAAAAAACCTAGAATGCTGAGATACCTGTGACCAAATTATAATGCTTTGGTTTAGTTCTCTCCTTCTCTCTCTAAAAAAAAAAAAAAAAAGTGCCTGCTTCCTGACTCCCTGACTGGGAAGCTGTCCTGCTCCCTGCGGGTCTCATTCATCACGCCGGCATCTGACGTCTCCGGCCAGGCTTCAAGGCCTTCGAGGGCAGGAACCAGGTCTTAGTCACCACGGCACCTCTCATGCCTAGCATGGTGCTTAGCATAGGGTCAGGTTTTGTGGAAGGAAGGAAGGAAGGAAGGAAGGAAGGAAGGGAGGGAGGGAGGGAGGGAGGGAGGGAGGGAGGGAGGGAGGGAGGGAGGGAGGAAGGAAGGAAGGAAGGAAGGAAGGAAGGAAGGAAGGAAGGGATGGAGAGAGGGAGGGAGGGAGGGAGGGAGGAAGGGAGGAAGGAAGGAAGGGATGGAGAGAGGGAGGGAGGGAGGGAGGAAGGAAGGAAGGAAGGAAGGAAGGAAGGAAGGAAGGAAGGAAGGAAGGAAGGAAGGAAGAGATGGAGAGAGGGAGGGAGGGAAGAAGGGAGGGAGGAAGGGAGGAAGAAAGGAAGGAAGGGATGGAGAGAGGGAGGGAGGGAGGAAGGAAGAAGGAAGGAAGGAAGGAAGGAAGGGAGAGAGAGGGAGGGAGGAGGAAGGAAGGAGGAGGAAGGAAGGAAGGGAGGAAGGGAGGAAGGAAATTGTATAGGTGTAGCTCACAGAAGAAGCCACAGCTCTGGTTGGTTCTCCTAAAGTTTAGGACCTAAACGGAGTCTTCGAGAGGAGACAGGAGCGCTCAGCCTACAGCTGTGACTGGGAGGCAGACTCCGACTGTCTGCTCGATGTACTCCCCTCCTTTGGGCACGACCTTGAGGGAGGGTCTGACAGAGAATCCTGAGCCTGCTACCGTGAGAATCACACGAGGGTCTCCCGTCAGCACTGCATCTGGTACGCGATCATGTTTGTGAATTAACGGCCACGCGGAGCCAACCCTGAGGGGTCCTGAGAACAGCCAGCCTGTCGTGGGCCCCCTGCTGGAACCTGCCCAGAGCTACAGGGCTTTGCACCCTCTCCCCACCCCATCCTCAGAGGCCTCCCCAAGGCCGAGCCCAGCTCCCCAGGGACTGTGGGTCCAGAAGCCCAGACCACAAACCCTGGCTCCCTCCTGACTTTTTCCGCTTGAAAGGGGAGCGCCAGGGCCACCTCCCGCCCTGCCCTCCTGAGCTGGAACTCGGAGCCCCTGCCCCCACTGTGTTCTTGCTGAGGCAGGTGCTCTAACCACGGCATCATCAGCACATTGCACTCACAATGCATCCTGGGAGGGAGGGTCTGCTGGTCACTGAGTCACGGGCTGTGAAGGTGCCCACAGGCCAGGTCTGCTGGGCTGGGGGCTGTGTGTGTGGCTGAGGGAGGGGCAGGTGCATGGGGGGGGCTGTAGGCTGGGGGAAGAATGGCAAAGCGCAGCCGGTGCTCAGGGTGGGGGTGTGTTAGGGAAGGTAAATTAGCTCACAGCGTGTGTGGGTAGGACTGTGTCCTCCACAAAGACATGTTGAAGTCCTGACTCCCAGCACCTCAGAATGTGGCCTTATTTGGAAATAGGGTTGTTGCAGAGGTAATTAGCTAAAAATGAGGTCATACTGGAGCAGGGTGGGCCCTTCATCCAATACGAGTGGTGCAAGACGCCTGACTGGCATGGCTCAGTGGCTGGGCATCAACCTATGAACCAGGAGGTCACGGTTCGATTCCCAGTCAGGGCACATACCTGGGTTGCAGGCTCGACTCCCAGTGTGGGTCAGGCAGGAGGCAGCCAATCAATGATTCTCTCTCATCATTGATGTTTCTCTCTCTCTCTCCCTTCCCTTCTGAAATCAATAAAAATATGTATTTTTTTAAAAAGTCAGTGTTCCCCAGAGTCCTGCCCAACTCCCCCTGCCCCTCTGCCTGCACTGGCTGGTCTGCCCTCCAGGCTTCCCCTCCGCCTCAGTAGAGTGCTGCCAGCTGCTCTGACACGCCAACCAGGTTTCAGTGGCTTCATGTAATAGAAGTGTCTTCACATGAAATTCAACTGGCACCATGTTCCAGCCCCTGCCGTCTTCCCCACGTGGCCTCCCGGGGCCTGGGGCATCCACGCCAGCCAGCCACCTGGAGAGCAGGTGGAGAACGGTGTGGCCGTATGGTTTTTATGGGAGACACATAGGTCACTTCCACCCACCTCCGTCGGCAAGGACTCGGCCTGTCTCAGTCCATCCCGGCCAATGTAACAGACACTGTAGACTGGAGGCTTGTAAACACACATGTTTATTTCTCAGTTCGGAGGCTGGCAAGTTCAAGATCAAGGCATGGGCAGATCAGTGTCTGGTGAGAGCCCCCTTCCTGGCTCACAGACGACTCTTCTCACTGTCCTCACGTGGCGGACGGGTGAGAGGGCTCCTGGGGGTCTCTTTCAAAGGGCACGCATCCTGTTCATGGGGCTCCAGCTCTGACCTAATCACCTCCCAAAGGCCCCACCTAACATTACATGGGGGTGAGGGTCCCCACATGGGAATTTGAGGGGCACTTAAGCATCCAGTCCACAGCCCCGCCCATGGCCACAGCTAACTGCAAGGCAGGTGGGGCGTGGCCTCGTGGTGCCCTGGGGCAGAGGGGTTAGGCTGGGCGAGTGGCTGACCAGTCCCTGCTGCAGGCTGCCCATCTGGTCACGGACCAGGCCTTCACTCTTTCTGTTATACATGGAATAGCTCATTGTTCTTCAAAGAGACGGCCGGTCCCAGCCCTCACTGTCCCCGGGACCTCTGCCCGGCCGGACCTCCGGCAGACGCACGGTTCTCTCTCCAGATCCCAGGTGCTTCCTTGCGATTGAACTAAATACAAGAACTAAAGACCTAAATACAAGAACGAGTTACCTGTGCCTTCCCTCCTGTTGCTGACACACACACAATATTCAGTGGTAGGGCCCAGACAGGAAAACCACAAGACAGCATCCCGCTCAGGAGGGGGACGGGAGGGACGAGGCGGCTCTGATCACAGCCATTGTGAGATGCTGCTGGGCAGGCCCTGGGAAAGCCCTACTGGGGGTTGGCGGGAGGTGGGGGCAGGGGTTGTGGGGGGTTCTTTCTCCGGAAATTGCACCATCCTGTCCTGTGTGGCTCCCAGTTCCATCCTCCAGGGTCCTTCCTGCAACCTTGCTCCCAGGCCACACTGAAGTGAGGTGGGGGGTGGTTGCTGCTCATCTTTTTCAAGACACAGCACCCAGCCGCCCGCCCGCTGGTTTTAAGGCCTGAAGGTGGGTTTAAGCCGACCCTTGTTCACGTGCCCACTTCTGCTTGATCACGTGACCCCGCCTCCTTGTTTACTGCTTGATCGCGTGGCCCCGCCTCCTTGTTTACTGCTTGATCGCGTGGCCCCGCCTCCTTGTTTACTGGTTGATCACGTGGCCCCGCCTCCTTGTTTACTGGTTGATCACGTGGCCCCGCCTCCTTGTTTACTGGTTGATCACGTGGCCCCGCCTCCTTGTTTACTGGTTGATCGCGTGGCCCCGCCTCCTTGTTTACTGGTTGATCGCGTGGCCCCGCCTCCTTGTTTACTGGTTGATCGCGTGGCCCTGCCCCCTTGTTTACTGGTTGATCACGTGGCCCTGCCTCCTTGTTTACTGGTTGATCACGTGGCCCCGCCTCCTTGTTTACTGGTTGGTCTCGTGGCCCCCTCCTTGTTTACTGGTTGGTTACGTGGTCCTGCCCCCTTGTTCACAATGGCTTTCTCACCACCTGCCCCCTGGCTGCAAACCAATACCATACATTTTAGATTTTCATTATGGTAACACCCCACTCCTAGTATCAATTTCTGTTTTCATTCAAGTAACACTGACATCTAAAAGAGATAAACTCCCAAATTTTATTCCGAAACACACTGGAAGTTTGTGTGTGTGTGTGTGTGTCTTTTCTCGTCTAAAAGGCAGGATGGGGGACGGGTGCAAGGACCTAGGGACCTCTGTTTCTTACAGTCTCAGGGACTCAGATCGAGGCTGTGCCATTGTCAATGCGCGGTTTCTAAGGGAGACGTGGATGTCAGAATCTAGGCAGCAGAGAAGGGAGCAGACCGGGCCTTAGCCTGATTTTGTAGACAAAGCTTTATTGGGACAGACAACCCCTTCATTTACATATTGCTGTAGCTGGGCCCCTTCATTTACATATTGCTGTGACTGGACCCCTTCATTTACATATTGCTGTGGCAGGACCCCTTCATTTACATATTGCTGTGTCTGGACCCCTTCATTTACATATTGCTGTGGCTGGACCCCTTCATTTACATATTGCTGTGGCTGGACCCCTTCATTTACATATTGCTGTGGCTGGACCCCTTCATTTACATATTGCTGTGGCGGGACCCCTTCATTTACATATTGCTGTGGCGGGACCCCTTCATTTACGTATTGCTGTGACTGGGTCCCAGCTGCACTGAGAGGGAACCAGCTGCTGTGGAGGCTGTATGGCTCACAGTTGCTATCTGGCCCCTGACAGAAAAAGTCTCCTGCAAACACCCTCCAGGCCCTGGGGACTCCTGGCCCAGCCTTGACAGGTCCGACTTCTTTCCTAACAGTCAGATCCGTATTTCTTTTTTTAAAAAATATATTTTTATTGATTTCAAAGAGGGAGAGATAGAAACACCGACGATGAGAGGAATCATTGATTGCTGTCTCCTGCATGTCCCACACGGAGGATCAAGCCTGCAACCTGGGCATGTGCCCTGACCGGGAATCGAACCGTGACCTCCTGGTTCATAGGTTGATGCTCCACCACTGAGCCAGGCCGGCCGGGCAGACCCATATTTCTAACAATGTGCCAGACTTCTCACACTTCATGTCCTCAAACAGAACCTGACCCTTTTCCTCCAAATCTCTCTCTTTCTGTGGCTCGTAATTCAGTTATTTGTTCATCATTCACTCGAGCTCCCAAACTGAAGCCCCAGGAGGGCCCTTGGCCTTCCCAACACCCCCAGCTCCGTACCCAGTGCTCTCTGTGTTTGAATGTGGGGTCTCCCCGCCTTTCCCCACGCGTCCCGTGCCCGGCCAGGCTCTGGCACGCGCCTCCTCACCCCTGACGCCTGCGCACTATGGAGTCAGCATCTTCATACTCCAGTGGCCTCAGTCGCTTCCCTGTAGCAAGGTCCTGCTGTCTCCCAAGGACAAGACACATCTGAGGTCCCCACCTGCCGTGGCAGAGCCCAGATGGGAACTCGGGGTTAGGAGCCTTCGAAGGCCCGTTGCCCCACCCCCACCCCTCCATTCTTTGCAGGATCAAAGCACCAGGAAGCACAAAGGAAATTCTTTGCATAGCAGAGCACAAAAGAAGCCCCTTCCACACCCTCAGAGAAGAATGTGGCCGTGGGCTGAGCAGTTCTGCTCTGTCCCCGCCTCTCCCCGCCCCAACTCCCCACCCCCCCACCCCCCCACCCCCGCACCAGCCCCCCCCCCTCCTCCCCGCCTCTCCCTCTCTCCCCAGAACTCCTTCACCTGGACACCTGCACAGAGGCAGCCCAGCTCAAGAGACACCTCCTACACGGCAAAGCCCCTCCCAGGACCCTGAAGGTCATGGCGGCCCCACTCGTCCTCCTCCCTCTCCTAATGACACAGCAGCCGCTCTGGGGGACAAAGAGAAGCCAAACTGGGCTGGGGTCCTCCTGGGGAGTCTGGGTTTTGTCCTTGGGGCAGTTTGGGTGACGTCCTGCCCGAGGGTACTCCCCCAGTCATTCCGCCTCTCTCTAGGGCAGTGGTTCTCAACCTTCCTGATGCCGCGACCCTTTAATACAGCTCCTCATGTTGTGGTGACCCCCAACCATAAAATTATTTTCGTTGCTACTTCATCACTGTAATGTTGCTACTGTTATGAATCGTCATGTAAATATCTGATATGCAGGATGTGTTTAGGCGACCCCTGTGAAAGGGTCGTTCGACCCCCAAAGGGGTCGCGACCCACAGGTTGAGAACCGCTGCTCTAGGGTTTCCTTGTAAGGCTCCTCCTTCTCTGCAGGTGTTCACATCTGTTTGCTTATTCATCACCTGTCGTGCACATAGAAAGTTAGGTACCAGATCGAGTGTGACATTGTCTCTCTTCTCTGCTGCTTCCGCAGCATCCACAAGTGTCTGGCTTATCGCTGACGTGCAATAAACTTTTGCTGAATGAATGAATGAATGAATGAACGAACGAACGAAGTGGCTAGCGACACTCTGATGGCCTCTTGTATCCCACACATGGTGGAAGGTAGGGCGTCTCCTACCTTCTCCTCCTGGAGGACTTCTCACATCTCCCCCTGAGCCCCTGGCAGACACTATCTAAGCCAACAGCAACTCCATTTGCCTGCTTGTTCAGGCCACAGCACCAGCCGTCCTTGGCTCCTGCCTCCTTTTCCTCCAAGGCACCGGCAAATCCTCTGGGTCCCCCTTCAAGGCGCACCCTGACTGACCACCTCCCATGGCCTAGATGGCCTCCCCCCTCTGCTTGCCACCCTCGCTGCACACCTGGAGTAGAATCCAAAGGTGTCGCCAGTTTCAACAAGCCCCACGGCGCTGGCCCTGGTTCCCACCAGGATCTCACTCTGTTCTCTCTCTGCTTCGCTCGCTCTGTTCCAGCCGCCCACCTCCCACAGGGCCCGCCCTCCAGCTTCACCCGCTCACACAGGTCATCAGCAAGGCCTTCCCTGACCGCCCCATCGAGACAGGGCCTTCCTCGATTCCTGTTTTTTTCTAGCACTTTCCAGGCTTCCGAGAGCCCTTCACAGCCTTTGCTTATTGTGTTATCGCCTCTAAAATGTGAGCTCCGAAAGGGCAAGGGCTCTGTCGCTTTAAGGGCTGCAGGGCCGGGGGCAGGGCTTGGGCATGGCGGGTGGTCATAGGTGTTTGTTGGCTGGAACTGGATGGGACTGGAGGAGCGATCCCAGCGCGGGGGGGGGGGGGGGGGGGCCCTCGCCAGGGGGAGGGGGGGTTCTGAGCTCGGTCAAAGGGTCTTGGTCAAGTGCACCAGGGCCCTCCCTGACTCCTCTGCATGCGGACCTCACCGTCCCAGTGCCCTCGGCCTCGAACCCTGGGCTGGGCCGTGTGAGTCACGTGGGCCAGGAGGATGTGAGCAGAGGGCTGTGCCTTCCGCGGCTCCTGCCTCTGCTGCGGGATGAGAACGTGCCCCGGCTCGCCTGGGGGTGAGGGGAGACCCGTGGCCCTGTGGGGAGAACATTCTGGGCCAAGGCCAAAGGCAGGACGCACCTGGGGTGCTTCGGAGGGAGTAAAGGGGCCGTGACTGCAGCCCAGGGAGGGAGGGGCGGTCACAGGGGCCACAGGGGCGGGTTATGGAGGCCTGGGCTCTTCCCCTGGGCCAGTGGGCAGCGGGGCCGGGCATGACCTGACTCGGGTAGTGAAGGGGTCACCGTGGCTGGTGGGGAATAAGCTCCCGGCCGGGCAGAAGCAGGGAGCCCGGCCACAGATGTCACAATGAGACGGGGTGCCCACCCCCCAGCCTCTCCCGCCTCCGGCCCTGGCACCCGCCGTTCCCATCCCCCTTGCTCCCTGCCCGGCGAACTCCTTCTTCACAGAGACCTTCCTGGGAGCGTCTCCCCCCTTCACCCCAGGGAAGGCCTTCTCTCTTCCTCTCCCTGCCCGTCCTTTCCCCTCCCAGCAGCAGGGCTCCCTGCAATCATGGGCCCGCCCTGCGTTTACTGTCTGCTGTTTAACGTCTGCTCCACTGGGTTGCAGGGCCCCTCTCCAGCCAAGCTCCGGGACAGGCTCCTGGACTCCAGTCCCCGTTCGTTCAGACCCGAGTGAGCTTGGAAAGCCAGTGAGCCACCCGGCCTCAGTTTCCTCCTCGAAAAAGTGCTGGTAACTTCAAGGGCGAGACCCAACGAGATGGCCAACGCCAAGCACAGAGCTCAGGGCCGGGCACGCCAGCCATGGAGAGAAGATGGTGTCAGAAGTGGCGAGAAGCACGTAGTCTCCGTGCCAGCAGCGCTCCAGGTACGAGGCCGCCCGCCCGGTGGGGCAGGTTTGAAACTGCCTCTTGCGCTCAGGAACACGGGAGCGTGTGTGGCATTTGTTGGTGGTGGTTGCTTAGCATCCCAACACCCATGGGAGGGGCCGAATCCCTAGACGGCGGGAGGCGGCTTCCCCGACGGAAGTGGAAGGGGCCAGTCTCCCTCTCCCAGAGCCCGCGGAGGGCTTGGCGGGCACTCAGCCTGGGCCCATGCCTCCCAGGACTCTGACCCTGACCAGGGCCACAGAGCAGCTGTGACCATTGAGACGGCTCCTCCGGTGTGGTGTGTGGTGGTGGGGGGCGGGGGGCTGCAGGGGCAGCTCGGGGCAGCTGGGCCGTGATGTCAGCAGGCCTGTCCCCGCTAGTTCCTGCCTGTGGTCCCGCCTCCCAGCTTTCAGGGTCCTTGCCCCATTGATGAGCCTGGTTCTCTAGCCTACCCCGTGATTCTGTGAGCCACCTATGACCCTTCCAGAAAATTCCTTCCGGTCCGTAGTCAACCAGAGTTGTTTTCTGTTATGTGTAACCAGGAACTCTGAGTCCTCTACCCTCCCAAACAGGACTGAGCCTCGAGCCCTAAAAAACCCTGGCTCGCACCCTTGGCCCCACCCTCCACTCTACCAGGAGCACAAAGCCTCCCTCGGCTGAGTCAGCCTGTACTCAGGGACCCAGAGAACAGGTAGAAGGTGTGGCAGCTGCTATCTGCCAACACCCCTGGGCTTCCTTCCTAGAACGCACCCGTCCCCCGCCCCCGCCCCCGCCCCCCCTGCTCTGCCCCAACCCAGATGGCACCGAGGTTGTCCCCAGGAATAGGCAAGGCTGTTCCAGAGGAAACGGAGAGAAGCAGAAGGAGCTGAGTCTGGAATGCTGAGCTCAACGTTGAGGTCTTTGCCTCAGTAAAAACAGCGAGCCGGGAGGGCACTCTCCCCCACCACCCCACCACCCCACCCTCTGGGCTGGAGAGCGGGCACCGCAGAGCACAGGCAGGAGAGGGCCTGCCTCCCAGGTGAGGGTGTGCAGCTGCCACCCTCTCAGAATTCCCTCCCCGTGTGTACATGTCAAGCAGACTTGGCCCTGGGGCTCCTCTGGGCAGAGAGGGCCTGAGCCGGCCCCTCCCCCAAGTTTCCTACAGAAATGTCTGAGAGAGGGGTCTGGGGCCAGAAAGGATGATACAGTAAACAGGAGGCTGGGTGGCCCATGGGCCCTCTTCGTGAATGCTGGCAGCTGTGGGCACCAGCAGGGTGGACGCTGGCATGGACAAGGAGGCCAGAGGCCATCTTTACGGGTCCCAGCAGGGATCCTGAGAGTGACCAAGCTCAGGAGCCCTCTCCCTCCTGACAGCACTAGCTGGAACGCCAGGGAGCAAGGGAGGCAAACCCAGCAAGGCTGAGGTTACCCTGAGTTCTCTGAGAGAAGGTTCCCACACCACCCAACAGGGGCAATTCAGTTAAAGTCCGTTAGGGAAACTGTCCACACATCTGACTTTGCTGCCTGTGAAGTCTGTACCTGCCACAAAGGCACCCACCCCAAGGAGCCCCGCCACCAGCATTGCCGGAGAGAACAAGGGTGCGGGGTCTGCCTGAGGCCTGGAGAGCTTTCGGGAGAGCGGTGGGTGAGCCATTACCAGGACTCTGAAGTCATGGGAAAGCCTGGCCTCGTTAGGCACTTACTGTGTGCCTGGCACCATGCTCAATATTAAACAGAGTGTTTCTGAACTGGGTGAAAAGTATTCCCATTCAGCAGATGAGGAAACTGAGGCACAGAGGTATTGCAGAGGGGCGCCAGGATGCACTGGGCGGATTTCCCACGGGATGGCTCACGTGGCGGTGGATGCAAAGATAGGCTCCTCGGGTAAACTAGAGTACTGTTCTGGGGCTTGAAGCCCGAAGGTAATGTTGGGAAAGATGGGAGGTTTGGGAAAGACGAGATTAATTAAAGTGCTGGTTCTCGGAGGGGACTCCGGCGGGAGTGGCGCGCCCTCTGGTGGACATGAGGAGAATGGCAGCTCAGGGGCTCTGCCCAGCTCCACCGATGCCCATGAATGGAAAGGGTGGGCAAAGCTCAGAGACGGTGCCCAGAGGGGCCACATGTGGTGTGGGGTCTGGGCTCAGCAGTGGCTACTCCGGAGGGTCCTGTCTGGGAAGGAGCATTCTATCAGGAGAGAGAGAGAAGGAAGGAAACGGACCTTCACTGAGCGCTGATCATATGCTTAGAAAAGACACGGAAAACAATGCTATTCACTTTAAAAACGGGCCAAGATACACAGGCACATGCAAACCAAAAGAAAACTGAGGGCATGGCCGAAAGATCAAAGTTAAATTTTTTTTAAAAAAGTTAAAATTCAACTCAGGAAGAATTATATGAGACAGAGCAGATCTCTAATCTCTCTCTTTTTTTAATATATTTTATTGATTTTTTACAGAGAGGAAGGGAGAGAGATAGAGAGTTAGAAACATCGATGAGAGAGAAACATCGATCAGCTGCCTCCTGCACATCTCCCACTGGGGATATGCCCGCAACCCAGGTACATGCCCTTGACCGGGATCGAACCCGGGACCTTTCAGTCCGCAGGCCGACGCTCTATCCACTGAGCCAAACCGGTTTCGGCTCTCTAATCTCTTTTGATCTTAATCTTCTTCAAGACCCCAGAAAACAAAATGCATACCAAATAACATAAAAACATGTACATCAAGAAACTGAAGCCGGCCAGCGTGGCTCACTGGTTGAGTGTTGACCTATGAACCAGGAGGTCATGGTTTGATTCCTGGTCAGGGCATATGCCTGGGTTGTGAGCTCAATCCCCAGCAGAGGGCATGCAGGAGGCAGCCGATTAATGACTCTTAATGATGTTTCTAACTCTCTCTCCCTCTCTGAAATACATATATATGTGTGTATATATATATATATTCATTTTTAAGAAAGAAAGTGAAAAGACAACCCACAGAATGGGAGAAAATATTTGTAAATCTTATGGCTCAGCCGTGGGCAAACTACGGCCCGCGGGCCATTTGAGATGAATAAAACTAAAAAAAAGACTGTACCCTTTTATGTAATGATGTTTACTTTGAATTTATATTAGTTCACACAAACACTCCATCCATGCTTTTGTTCCGGCCCTCCGGTCCAGTTTAAGAACCCATTGTGGCCCTCGAGTCAAAAAGTTTGCCCACCCCTATATATAGCTGATCAGGGACTTGTATCAGAATATGTAAAAAAAATATCTTACAACTCAACAATAAAAAGACAACCAATTTTTAAAATCGGTAAAGGATTTGCATAGACATTTCTCTAAAGAAGACATACATATGGCCACTAGGCACATGAAAGGATGCTCAACGTCACTCGTCACCAGGGAAATTCAGAACCACAATGAAACATCTTTATTCTATTGCCCTTTGCTCTGGAGAGAGGCACTGTCTCTGACTTCCAAGTAGGTTTACAATTGTTAGTATGGAAAATAATACAATCTTATATAATAAAAGGCTAATATGCAAATTGTCCCCTTGACCAGGAGTTCAACCAGGGGGTGGGGCTGGCTGGCCAACCGCCCAGGGTCCCCCCACCCCCCACCCGGCCTGAATGGGGTGTGCTGGCCGGACCCCACTCATGCATGAATTCGTGCATTGGGCCTCTAGTAATTAATAAAAAACAACACAAGAATAAGCTCTGTGTTTCACGTACTCACAACTGTAAACCTATATTTGTCCCACCCTGCATATACACATACATGTACATACATACATATATAAAAACTAGAGGCCCGGTGCACAAAAATTTGTGCACTCGGGGGGGGGAGGGGATGTCCCTCAGCCTGGCCTGTGCCCTCTCACAGTCTGGGACCCCTCAGGGGATGACCACCTGCTGGCTTAGGCCCACTCCCTGGGGGATTGGGCCTAAGATGGCAATCAGACATCCCTCTGGCAGCCCGGCAGCCCTCAGGGGATGTCCACTTGCCAGGGGGGAGCAGGCCTAGCTGTAGTTGGACATCCTTAGCACTGCTGAGGAGGCGGGAGAGGCTCCCACCACCACCGCTGTGCTGGCAGCCATCAGCCTGGCTTGTGGCTGAGCAGAGCTCCTCCCATGTGAGAGCAACCTGACCACCAGAGGGCAGCTCCTGCATTGAGCGTATGCCCCCTGGTGGTCAGTGTGTGTCATAATGACCAGTCATTCCCAGTCTTTCTGCTGTTAGGGTCAGTTTTCATATTACCCTTTTACTATATAGGATAGAGGCCTGGTGCACGGGTGGGGGCCGGCTGGTTTGCCCTGAAGGGTGTCCCGGATCAGGGTGGGGGTCCCGCTTGGGTGCCTGGCCAGCCTGGATGAGGGGATGATGGCTGTTTGCAGCTGATCACACCCCCCTTCAGGGTGGGGGTCCCCACTGGGGTGCCTGGCCAGTCTGGGTGAGGGGCTGAGGGCCGTTTTCTGGCTGGCGGGTGACTGAAGCTCCCAACCTCTCCTTTTTTTCTTTTTTTTTTATTCTGGGATTTATTTACCTTCTATGGCTGTCACTGGAACAGCTCCAGCTCTGAGACCTCAGCTGCTGAAAGCAGGTATCTGGGTTTGTTTGGGTTCTATAATCGTAACACGGTTGCAGTCCTGCTCGCTCCAGCTCTGATGGCTGAAAGCAGGTTTCTGGGGATTGTTTAACTTCTATAATTGCAACAAAGTTGCGTAGAGTGCAAGCTCAGAGGCCGACAGCGGCAGGCGGGGAACCTTGGCTTCCTCCTTCACTGGAGCAAGCAAGCCTCCTGTTCGCTTCAGCTGCCTGGCTGCCGGCCGCCATCTTGGTTGGCAGTTAATTTGCATATCTCACTGATTAGCCAATGGGAAGGGTAGCGAAGTTACGGTTAATTACCATGTTTGTCTATTATTAGATAGGATTAAAGTCAATGTGGTGAAATGTTAACCACTGGTAAAGGGTATATGTTCTTGCAATTTTTATGTAAGTTTAAAAGTACACCAAAACCAAAAGCTATTCCCCTACACC